AAAAAACTACCTACCAGCTCATTGACACTCAATCCTCCCCTAAAACGACCTGGGTAGCGTCTGCAGAAACAATACCCTAATTCAAACGAGAGCATAATATGATATGCACCATCCTCGCAAGGAGTATGCTCTATTAACCTGGTTTTCAACGTTTTTCCGCATCCGTATCGAGTCTTCGATAGTGAAACGCAGAAAATGAGTTATACGGTGAACATTATTTTTAGTGCATTACGATGAGGGTTAGGTGAACACCATATTATATATGGAGGCAGCGATAGCATTGATTATGAGGCTTTATTCAACATTAAATACACAGGACCAATGTTTGTGCAGAGCCATTACCTAGTTCTCTTTTTTCAGTTCCAAAATCATTAGTACAACCATCTGATTTAGTATTTTTTTTAGGGTATCATACGCTTATCCTGTATAACTGAGTTTTGTTTACAAAAATACTCTTTGCATGCTCAAGTTTCCTAATTCTTGAGTCTGGATTGTGTCCTAGAAGAGACAGACAGGATACACAAAGTGTTCTCTAAGGACCCTAATGAATCTCTTATCTCAAACTTGTCCATTGTTGGGGACGTTCTGTTGATTGTAACATCTCGGCTCAGATGTAAAGTAGAACATTATGAAGCTTAAACGTTCACTCTAATTGAAATGGGATAGTGTGTATTTTTATTATTTCTTTTAATAGACGCATCATGAAACATATTAATAAAGATATCTTAAATATTTGAGATATTTTTATTTACATGATTCGTTATTTGGGGAGACGATTGTTGTCCTGGTTTGTACCGTTTCAGATTAATACCTTCGTATTTTTGTGCCAAATTTCGATAAGATTGCTTCGGCCGTTCAGGAGGAGTATTTGTAAATCAAAAGCAGGGGTGTAGTATAAAAGCTTCGTTTGCTCCTCTCAACTAAACAGTAGCCTATATATTGGAAAATAACTGTGTTCCATGTTTAAGCATCTACGCAATATAGGTGAATCCAGATTTCATTCATATTTTGTTCTGACCCTTGCCCTGTCACGTAATGTCTGGCGATCCTTCCCATTCCCCATTTTAGTACTCTTCAATATTTTTAGTACTCTTCAACCCGGCATCATGTTTTCGCCATTTTCTACTTTGATTTATGTATAATACCCTACTTAGTTTGTGGCATATAAATTGAACTTATATTATCCTATGTATATCGTATGTACTCATTCGTGACACACCTAAAAAAAGTTAACTTTGAAAAGTTAAAAACTGTATTTAAACTGTTCATGGTGCAAAACGGTAGCGTACGCGAAAGCTGGCCAGCTACATAAAGTCGTCAACTGTCTACAGACATCGCTGCAGTAAAAAGGGAGGTACCAATTCGTAATCCTTCATATTTAAAGGTTTATTATTTTGTGCTCACAGTGTGTCTCTAAAGCTGATCTTAGCTTAATATATCTCACATCCCCTTTTATACAGTCCACAATATCCAAGTTTATCCCCAAAACTGCTTGTCCACTATTATTTAAACAAGTGTATAAAAACCATCTGGTATGATGCATTTTAGGGAATTTATTCTTGGTATCGTTTGTGTCCGTTGATATTCAATTTATTTTTGCTATTTTAATAAACAATACAGTCACGATAGCTATAAATATAAAGACTCATAATAAAGAGTCATACTATTTCCATATGGAGTACAATAAAAGATCCGATGCATTTCATTGTTGTTCTACAAAACTTTAGAAATTTGTTAAAATAGATGAATACTTTGGAAGAATATATTTCTGAATCCATTTTGCAATCCCCTACATAATTCATTTGATTTTATTACGCCTTTAAAATTTTAATTTACAATTCGTATGTGATATTGTTACTTTGTAGTAAAATTGCTATACAAAATATAACGCCTTTTAGTACTAATCTTTAATTACTGTAATTACTAGTAACGCATATTATACTCAGTTCATAAAATTTAGGCGGTATCAGGGAAAGTACCCCAACTACTATTTTTACTTCATATTCATATTTTGGCAAAACTCTGCTGTTGAGCTATCATTTTCCAAGGTAGGTCCAAATGGAAGGAATAGATTTCTTCCCCTAAAACCAACTCAATTTTGTGAACGGAGTATAGAATCAGTAAGATCAATTAATTGTATTTAAGGAATTACATTTTTGTATGGGAACAGTTTTTGTCTAATGTCTTCATTTATTATGACATCTAATACATAAACCATCATCAACTTATTGCTTGTATGGTCCTAGTACATAGAATATAACGTACTATGTATGCCTTATTTCCAACAGTCGAGTATTAGAAATGGACGTCATATGGTCAGACATGTAACCCTGCTTCAACACCATTGTCAATTACACATCGTGTGTCAATGCAAACAACCTGAAACTGTCGTCATCAATCATCTAATTTTATCCCTGACTGTACGAATCTTGTGAGATGGAAAACATGTTTAGTAATAAAATGTGTTACAATCTGGCGCATGATGTTTGAAATCCAAATTTCTATTAAAAACCTAAGGGTAAGCCCACATAGACTAATCTTACTAATATTATAAATGTGAAAGTTTGTGTGTTTGTTTGTTTGAAGTTCAATCACGCATTAACCACTGGACGGATTGGGCTAAAATTTGGCATGATGGATTTGGTATGATGGTAGCTCACATTCCCGATTAACATATAGACATATTCTTATCTCAAAAATCCTTTCGGGCTCCGCCCCAGTGGGTCTGTAGTTCTCCATGTTAACCTTAGTATTCATATTTATAGGGATCTAGCTGGCCCGACAGACTTCGTCCTGCCCTAATGTGGTTTGATGAAAAATACTCGTTCATTTTCAAGATGAGCTCGTTCGCATGGCTCAATCACGTCCTGGTTGAATTTCGTTCGCTACGCTCACTCACCTTTAGGTTGGAGCTCGTTCGCTGCGCTCACTTGCCTTCAGGTTAGCTCGTTCGCTACGCTAACCCACCTCTAGGTTGAAGTTCGTTCGCTACGCTCACTCACCTTTTGGTAGCAAATTAGCTGTTGTCATAAAAAAAAAATAGTGCTGCACCCTGTTGGTAAACCTATTAACTTTTTAATGTTATTGAACATCACAGAATCAAATTGTTTAGTTGAACCAGCTGTTAAGATTCTTTAATTCCATTTAAATATGAGTACTCATAAGTTTAACATGGGAATCTCCAGAGCCACTGGGGCGGAGCCCTTTGACGGATTTGCACCAAACTTTACAAAACCATCCTTGCATAATGCTTAATAATGCCTGAAGGTTTCATTACAATCTGTCGAGCGGTATCGGAGTCCATAAAGGACAAACAAACAAACAAACATACATTGGATTTTATTTATAGATTAAACAAATTTAATCAGCTGTTTCAACTAAAAAGGTTGGTTCTATGATATGCAAAAGCATTTAAAATGTATAAGACTTACCAACAGGGTGCAGCACTATAATCTTTTTTGCATTTATGTAATTGAGCTAAGCAGCAACAAAAAACCGTGACACGCAATGAGAACTGTCAAAGTAGGATGAAATAAATAAATGTTATGAAAATATATCACAAAATGTATAGGCTACAAGCAAAGAACTGGAATATTAAATATTTTATATTTTTCAGTAAATTGTAATTGAACAAAAATGCTTCAATACCTATACAAAAGTGTTTGTTCTATATTAAGCTCTACACGATGGTTATAATGGTTACTGGTCATTTCTATGTTTTAAGGGTAAAGATTTTGAACTTATTCAAGTCCATCTAGCTTTCTACATTTATGCCAAATTCCATCAAAACTGGACGAAAAATACTTCAGTAATGGGATTAACAAACATGTTTGTATGCAGGGTGGAAAAAAGTCCCGGGATGGTTAAATATTTCAAAAAAGTAATAAAGATAGAGCTTCAAAACCTGGTACACTATTACTGGGCATTAAAATCATTTGAACACATTATTCAGTGATGGGCTAACTCCTCAGGGGGATGGCCCACTAGGGGTCAGAAGAAAATATGAAACGTAACCTTAGGTGAATTTGCACATCAAATTAAAGGTATTTTTTTTTATAAAAATACAATGTTGCAAATTTGAACTTAAACGTACAAGCGAGTAAAACATTACAGCTATTGAAATATGCGTTAAAATTGCAATGCCATTTATACCTCCTAAGGAGGACGCCCGCTAGAACTCGGAAGAAAATCATAAACGTATGCAAAAGTCGATATGCACATCAAATTAAAGGTCCTATACGATGCTACACATTTGAGCTCAAAAGGACATCTGAGTAAAAAATGGCAGCCGTTTCAAGATTCAAAATGGCACATTCAATGTTGAACGGTTGCAATTTTTTGACTCGGTTGTCCGTTTGAGTCCAGTTTGCAGGATTATATTTAACTGACAAAGACCTTAAATTTAATGTGTATACCAACCTATGCTTACATTAAATATTTTCTTCTGACTCCTAGCGGGTTGAGTATTACTGATTAATGTGTTAAAATTATTTTAATCCCCAGTAACTATGTACCGAGTTTGACGCTCTATATTTATTACTTTTCGAAATATTTAACTGTCCCGGGTTTTTTTTATTTCAAAGCATGTATACATATAACCAAATTTGAACAATAGTGTTTTGGTCTCTTTGGACATCAAAATGAAAAAGTAAATCGGTCCCGGGTCTAGGAATTTCCGCACCACATGCGGTAATGGCATATTTGCTATAGGGAAATGCTCCTTAAGGAAACTATGACAGGAAAATACACACGGAATTACTCGCTAAACTATCAATTATTTTTAGAACATGATAATTCTCAAGTGGATCTTGATTAACAAAAGAAATATAGTCAACAGAAATCTCAAAGACTGCGTTTCATACTCATCTTGTCAAAAAGCTCACAATCTGATGAACTTCACAATGCCTCATTGATGTCAATCATTGATTGAGGATACTCTGAATTATCTCCTTTCAAGTTAGGTATTTAAACCACTACAATTGGCACATCACATATTGAAAGTCCGACTTTAGCTAGAAGACTGCATAATGGGCTTCCAACTATTCTTTCTGGTGGTAAGCAATATGAGTTTTACTTATTTATACAATAACATGTTATTTAAATATTTTTTAGAGTCATGTTGCCTATCGTAAATCATATTTACCAAAATCTTATCTTACTATCAGGGCAGAATTTCAACACAAGGGTTCATTGAAAAAGGTTTTCTTGGGTGCCTCAAGGAACAAAATTACAACAAACTTAAAAATGGATTTATCTTTGTAAGATTTAAGACGACTCAATTTATTCTAAATAAATATATGCTACTGATTTATAATAATAATCATACTAATATTATAACGTTAAAACTGAGTGTGTGTTTGGGGCCCCACATTTTCCAGCCTCTACCTAAAAAGATAAAAAAAAGATAATGGGTATGAACTGTTTAACTCTATACATATTCAACGGTATGTAAGAATGTTAACACTTTAAAAATTCAAGAATAAATAAAGGGTGGTACCTCTTATTACCAAGGGAATAAGACATTTTACATGGTGATCAAGTTTTTCTCACGTACCTTTTTACCAGTCATGCGTTTCAGATATTCTCTACGAAAGACTTTATATTTTATTTTGTCTAATATTTTAAATCTACTTTTGAATCAACCATTGCTTATCAAATATTGAATTTCTCCTTTCATCCAGGTTTGTCTTTGGTGAGTATAAACACCAAAGAGAGATAAAGTGTATTTTTATTAAGTTTTGTATTTTGTCTTGTTGTTTTCATCTATCTCCATTTAGTAATACAGATCGATGTTTGTTTTATGAAAGTAGTGTGGCAATGATGAAAGGGAGATGATTGCTGACTAATATTTAATACTAGCATCGGTACTATTGTAATGGTAGCGTCGTCCTGTAATCTAGCTACTAGGAGGTCACGAATTGTGGATATTTATAGGCATGCACAGTGGATACTATACTCCATGGTGTGGATTATTAACAGGGAGTACTACGACTGCCCACAGTGCTATCTTGATAATTAGACCGATTCGTAAATTACGAGGCAAAAATGTGGTTCGGTTTGCACGATAAACTACAGGTCCTTTGGTTACCATTGCCTGTATGCTGTGTCTAAGAATGGTCTAAGGGACATGTCGGCCTTAATCACTAACAAAACTACAAGATCGCTCCACTCATATTTTTGTTCAAATACGCACCTAGTTTAAATTATTGATATAATTGATGATTGATTGATACTGACAACATCAACAGTATTCAACAGTGTAATAAAGCACCCTTCCATTTCATAAAAGATGCTATTGGCTTACAACAAATCACTCTTTCAAATTGGGTTGGTTAAAAGGTTTTTGTCTCTTTGACATACCAGTAAGGTTTTTGTCTCTTTGACAGAAATCAGTAAGTCAACACACTATGTTGTTGGCTAAACGGCTTGATACAGGAAAAGAAAGGGTTTTCCATACTTTAACACTTAGACAATTTTTATGTGTTGTTTATGAATCAGATAAAACACAGAATTTAATGTCAAAAACTTAAAATAATAGTCATTCTCATTGCAGGTTGCCACAACTCTAGTTTCGTCACTGGGGTCACCAACAATTGACACTTCACTGTCTGCTGACACTTCTCTGTCTAATGACATTGCAATGTCTGCTGACACTTCACTGACTGACACATCAATGTCTGTTGACACTTCCCCAGTGAAATACTGTGATAGGGACTACTCATGTGCAGACTGTTTCAACGTGCGAGTCTGCGCTCCAACGTCAGACGGACAACATCTTCAGGAGATAGCTAAATTCTATTGCACCTCGTCAAATCCTTACTGCAACTACACCACTGGGACCTGCGGTTCCACTCAAGACACTTCTTGCGTCCAACCCATCCCGATTGTTGCAAAAAACTTCACCTGCATGCGAGACGGCTACTTCCCTGACCCCGTGAACTGTTCTTTGTACTACAACTGTCAACACCAAGTAGCATACCAATACACATGCTCGTACCCGACCCCTTACTACCACCCTGGCCAAAAGATGTGTGTTACTAGCAGTTCTTACTGTACCTGGGACACTGCGGGGTACTACTGTAAATATTACAGTTCCTACTATGGGAAGAAAGTAGCTGTTGGTTATACGTGGAACTACTTCATATACTGTAGCACTCAAGGAAGTATAGTGGCTGTTGATCGGTGCATCGGAGACTATTACTTTTCCACGGGCGCACAAGATTGTAAATTTGTCTGTCCAAATGCAGGATTGTTTCCCAAGAAGGACGTAAACTGTGCCAACTACTACAAGTGTTCTCCTACATTGTACGGGTTTGACCTGATCAACATGACATGTCCGGCTGGACAAGGCTACTCTGAGTTTGACTACGGCTGCATCGATCGTTCCCTAGTCCCTAACTGTAACGTCACTAATCCTGATTTGTTGAACAAATAGATTATTTGGTGCACCATCGTGGTAATGACTGTGTAAAGATCTAATTGCGACGTTATTTAGTTATTAGTTATTTAGTTATTTAGTTATTTTTAACATATGCTATTTATTTTTAAAAGTACTTAAAAATAAACTGTAATCACCATAAAAGCTGTTATTTTTCTTTCCTAAAAAAATTTAAAAAAATTTCCTCACATTTACAGTAGGTTCACGCTTTTAAAACACCCATTTGATGTCATTTTGATGTAAAATGCTCCATTAAATTTTATGATCTGTTTGATTAAAGTTTATTGTTTGTGGTGTTTAGTTTGCATTTTACCTCCTCCCCCTATACCATAGTATATGGAGAAAGTATTGTTTTCGTCAAAATTTTAGAGTTTGAGTTTTGAGTGGATATATTCGTTTTAGGCACCCTTGGTCTCCCTAGACTTCCGACTGAAGATGGACCTAAGGGTCCGAAATTAATATCGGGTAACCACAGTAAGGATTGCTAAAGTAAGAGTTTACATTATCAATTGATTGTGTATAAGCAATCCAAGGGCTAAAAATATTGATAACTTCAAATATAACGCATAATTTTTACCAAACAGACAAGAAAGCGAGCCAATATAAACTTTAAAAAAAGACGAAAGCCATTTTAAGAGCTTGTTAGCTTAAATGGGAGATCATGTAAAAATTAGCCACTGATGGCCTCAGGAATGTTATATTATACTTTTTAACAATTGAAAAAATAAGACAATATAATCCGAGGAAAGAACCCATAAGGTAAACATTTCAGATTCAGACAATTGTTACTATAAACGTATATTTTTATGTCTCATGGTCAGTGTCCAGCAATAGTAAAGTTAAAACAAAAGCTTGAGATAAAACAAAGTGTACTTAACTGATAAACTCTCACACATTCACAGGAGACTCTAATACGAGTCAGAAGACTAATGCTTATCTGCTCCTTTATTAAATTACAACACAAAGAGAAATAATGGTTTTTTTATTATATGAATCTTAAATAAACGTGTTACTTCCCTGCTTTGTAATGAGTACTTATACTTATTCACATTTCAGTAAAAGAACGATCAGAGTGCATTTCACAAGGTAGCCTATAAGGTATAATGTAATTTAGTAAAAGTTGATGTTGCATTACCTTTGTGTTTGAAACATTATTCCATAACATATATAATTGAAATGTATGAATTTGGAAATGTACCTTTATTACTACAAAATCTTAGCTTGAAATGTGTGAATATTATTTTTAACGTTTGGTCTAAAACATGTTTATATAGCAAAATATATGTTTATATAGCATTTCCACACGTCTTCACCACTGCTATGGTGTCTTACCGCATGATAAAGGTCTTCTTCTTTATTCTGAGGCCATAGTGACAAGCATTTAAATAATAAGACAATATAGAGTACTCGGTGAAGAAGAATAATATTGGAACGCATTTAAATCGCTAATCGGTGGTTCAATGTTTCAAGTGAGCTTTAATATTGCGTATCTGCAAAATGTATGTCCGCTTAACTTAAAAGTAATACAATCGTCATCAATATACAATTGATAAATATAATAAACTGTACATACATAAAATGTTTTAATTCAAAAGTAAATTGCTTACAAAACTGTTTCCCAACCAATTCAGTGTCCAGAACTCAATTAAAACCAGTTTGGAAATCAACAGAAACATCACGAATACTAATTTTCTTTAGGAATTGGATAGAGCGAGTAAATTTGATTACAGTGTTGGTTATTTAAATAAATGGTGGTTTAAATGAATTAAGAGTAAACATTATTATAGTAAATAAACTTCTTGATCCCCAGGGGTACTTATAATAACCATTTGTAGAATTCAAAATCCTGGAAAATATTCGAATCGATAAAATATGAAAATTAATAATAGCTATAGATGATTGGTTGTTTACCTATTTGTTTACAAGTGTAAGTGCCAAACATATAATATTATAAAGTTTTAGTTCCCTAATTGCTTATAAAACCTAACCTAAATACCTAAATACCGGAAACCGCAATTTAATATGGAAAGTAAAAGTAAAATTGTTTGGTTTATAATCTGTACAGTTTTCTGTCGTAACACCCGTAACAAATCTAAAAGAGCAGGCTGGGAATTGACATACATAACATTAATTCCCCACCGCAGCTAACCTGCAGTCTAAATCAATTATTAATTACCTGGTTGGGTTTTCATTAAAATATTCCTTTTTAATTTCCATTTCTATTCCTATTTAAATTAAGTTAATTTTAATGAGTACTTAGGTTTGCTGCTACGATAATGAGGTGTGTTTTTTTTTTATTAAAATGTTGATGGCTTGGTATGAAATGATCAAAATTTCCAAAATTGATAAACATATATCCATAAGCAAGCAAACTACAACGGTTTATTTATTCTCCAAAAGAATGACATGTTTTTAATTTGCACTTTTTTGAATTTCCCTCGTTACCGTAAGGCGTACAACCACAATACAAGAAGCTATGTTATTTCTTAATCCCAGATCTTATCATTAGACCTAAGGTAATAAATAGCTAATTCCCTATATAGGAAATTCGCTAAAACTAAAATGTCCAAACTAACAGTTCACATAATATGTTCACATATGTAACAGTTATTTAATTTATGACTCCGTTGAGGGTTTGAATCTCTGTTGATTTGACGTAAACAGATTTGTAACCGAATGTAATTTACGTTACATATTTGTCGTGCATAACGTCATTCTGAGCGTTTAGATCTTGCGTTCCTCAGTTAATGGGAAATGTCTGACAAAATCAAATTCTACTTCAGACCAACCATTTGCTGCATATTTTGGTTATTTTAGGATTTTAAATGTTTTCGAGATTCCAAATAACTGATTTTTATAACTAGAATGATATATGCAAATAACAACAAAAAGTCGTAAAAAAGTCTGTTTTACAAAGATTCATTCCGCGTTTTGTTGACTTCTTCACTATTTTTTAATACAACATTCATTTTCGAGTAATACAGACAATAAACAACAACACATTACTTTTTAAACTCTGAAAATGATTATCTACAGTAAAAACTGATCTGTATTACTGTAGACAATAGTCGATATACTCTCTTGAAAGAATGTAAAATGTGATATTGGTGGAACACCTTCTATTGCTCAAATACACTATATAGGCGATATAATCTTTATTAAGACCGTCATGTTTTTAAAACGTTTTTATTAGGTAGAGTTTATCTTGCCAAGATTATTCATCCGCGACCCGATAGTTTGTAAACCCACCTTAAGCTTTATGGCCAACTAAATGTAAAAAACAGTTCCAAAAAACTATAAAACATTAAACAATATCATGACCATAATATGCGCCTCTACTAACAATATAATATAAAAAATAATATGTTTGATATTTTCACTAAAACAATATAATGTTGGTCGCTCAGACAAAAAGATATCGTTCTGTAATGTTTAAAATAGTTGACATAAAACACAAAAACAAAACAAAACGTTCTCTTACTTTTTTATTCTGAAAAATTTTGGGGAAAAGGTGTCACCTTCGTTCTTTAATGCTTACTTTAAGCTAAGGTATTTAAAATTGTGGGATAAAAAAACATTTTAGTAACCCCACGAATTACGATGTATGAAATCATGTTGAAACGAAGAGTGTATAGTTCTTTTATCACACGTTTTATTACAGTTTTCCAAATGAATTAATTCATTTTAAATGTAACTTTAGTTGAAAGTATATACCTTTCAAACTGTTAAAATTCTCTTTAATTTTGACCAGCACAAAAGTAATTCCTTGCGAAATGTCTCCATCATTCCTTCATGCCTTTTCCGTGTCGCTCGTTGAGAGGACTGCTTTTATTGTCTTCAAGACCTGCATACTAAATATGTTATTTCCAGACCTGTTAAAAATTATATTCAATTATTCTATTTAAAATCAATTTGATGGAGTAGAGGAAAATGAACAAAATATAAGTGAATCAAATTTACTTATACCTAGTAAATTTGCTTAAAGACCTGACACATATTGGTAAATATTATTACAATTCTACTTTATCGCGAGCTTTAGAAATATTTCGTACCTTACAAAGGTTTTAATATACAATTTCAATCTGATACTTTAACTTCCATCTATGTTTAATGATGAGCTTATTTACACTTGAACAGAGAAGTTCAGGCGTTGCACAAACGACAGAACGTCGCCAACAATGGATAAGTTTGAGATAAGAGATTCATTATGGTCCTTAGGGAACACTTTGTGTATCCTGTCTGTCTCTTAGGATATACTCAAGATCTACTATTTGATATTTATTACATGGTGATAAAATAAAAAAAGATTTTAAAATATTTTATTTAAACTGTGGCCAAAAACTATTTTCAATTTGAAAGAATCTGATGAAAAACATTCTTTGCGAACCTAGCTAGCTGTATTCTATACCTATTTTTGTTGGTCCAGAGGGTACGGTATTGGTTCTAGACGTTTTTCTAGACGCATTGGTCAGGAATAATTCTTTATCAGCTGATTTGTCAATGTTTAACACTAGGCTGGAACTATTATGACGACTTATTGAAACAACAACTGAATCAGTTTTTAAGAATGCAATTCCGTAAACAAAGATTGTATCCTTCTTATTAAATCTTTTAAAATACTGGCACCTATCAACTTCTTCCTTGTAGGATGTTACTGTGTGTTAGTAAAACCCAAACTTAGCTTTGGAAATTAATTGAACTTTTTATATTTTGCTGATTACAAACAACGATTGTGTAAGATTGTCCTGTGTAAATTGGCATGCCAGGTAAGGTATAAAGGTAATCAACAACTTCCCTTTGGGAGCACTCTTGACCAATTATTGTAGTAGCTCACAGCTTCAGATGTTGATAATATGAGGAAATGTGCATGTAAGTGCCAATGATTCCTTTACTATTTTAATAGTTCTCAATTATTTATATTATACTATAATAATCATTATTCGTTTCGTTATTTAAAAAAATCTTTCCAAAGTTAAAATATAAAATGCCACAGCAAACCTGCAGACTAAGCGAATTTCCATTTAATTTGCCTGATAGGATTTTCGCTATAATATCACCTTAAATGTGTCATATCCCTATTTAAAATCGTTAGTTTAACGAGGTTTGCTGCT